CCCCAAAAAAAAATTAAAAAATTTTATCTTGTTTTGAAGCTTTTATTTCTTGACCCCTTTTACAGACCGACTGAACATTTTTAAGTTCACTACTGGTGCAGTAAGAGCTTGCATTTATCTCAAAATGTTTAAATCCAGGTGTTTCTAATTGTATTCCCGCTTGGCTCTATTTCCTCATAGCTATGTACCAGCCCACAAATCTTATCTTCCAAAACTTATCTATCGGCTTTCAAACCATTTATTTTCTTGACCCCCCTGCTTCAAGGGACATTTTTAAGTTCACCGGGGGGGGGGATTTACTTCGAGATGTGTTTAGCTCAGTGGGTAAATTTTCTGCCCTGTAAATCAGGGCATTGTTGGTTTGATTCCTGCATGGCTACTTTTACTCATTGCTATGTATCAGTCCTCAAAATTTTTTATTTGAAATTTATCTGTTTATTAAATTTATAATCACTGAATATGACTGGGCAATGCACAGTCAGCAGCTTTTTCAAGTAAGAGCTTGCATTTGGCTCAAAAAGTTGCAATTCCTGCCTTGTAGTCATGGTGTTTCCTATTTTTAAGTTTACAGGGGTAAGAATGACAGACCCTAGGAGTAACAGAAGTGTTCTGAAACTGGAATGAGAGACCACAGAGTGAATGACAGCCCCTGGGGATTCCAGGACTGTTCAGGGACTGGAATGAGAGACCACAGAGTGGAATGACAGCCCCTGGGGGTTCCAGGACTGTTCAGGGACTGGAATGAGAGACCACAGAGTGGAATGACAGCCCCTGGGGTTTCCAGGAGTGTTCTTTGACTAGAATGAGAGATCACAAGTGGAATGACAGTTCCTGGGGGTAGCAGATGTGTTTTGGGACTGGAATGACTGGCCCCAGAGTGGAATGACAGCCCCTGGGGGTTCCAGGAGTGTTCAGGGACTGGAATGAGAGACCACGGAGTGAAATGACAGCCCCTGGGGGTAGCAGGAGTGTTCTTTGACTAGAATGAGAGACCACAGAGTGGAATGACAGTCCCTGGGGGTAGTAGATGTGTTTTGGGACTGGAATAACAGGCCCCAGAGTGGAATGACAGCCCCTTGGGGTAGCAGTTGTGTTCTGGGAGTGGAATGACAGGCCCAATGGTAGAATGACATCCCCTTGGAGTAAGAGGAGTGTCCTGGAACTGGAATGCCAGGCCTATCATTACCGTCCCAGGGCACATCTCCTATCCCCTTTGCTTTCATTCCACTCTGGAGCCAGTTATTCCAGTCCCAGAATACTCCTGCTAACCCCAGGGGCTGTGTTCTGGGAGTGGAATGACAGGCCCAATGGTAGAATGACATCCCCTTGGAGTAAGAGGAGTGTCCTGGAACTGGAATGCCAGGCCTATCATTACCGTCCCAGGGCACATCTCCTATCCCCTTTGCTGTCATTCCACTCTGGAGCCGGTTATTCCAGTCCCAGAATACTCCTGCTAACCCCAGGGGCTACCATTCCACTGTGGGGCCTCTCATTCCAGTCCCAGAACAGTAACCCCCAGGGGCCATCTAGTGACGAACAATAGATTGTGATTAGATAACTGAAAAAAGACAAAGTGGACAGCTCCCCTAATGCTAACTTGAAAGCAGAGGCGCAGCAGTTCTAATCCACATGGGATAACAGCGGCACCAAGCTGATTCTAAAATGCATATGTAGATTCGGCCTAAGACTGGCACTTGCACAGCTGGATCACAGCCTTTGGCTCCAGCCCTTTCACTGCCTTATACTCTCCCCTCCAAATTAAACTCGGGAAGTGCACACATTCTCTGCCCTTTCCAAGGCATTCTATAAACATTAGACACTGTCGCTTGCCCTGCATCTGTAAGCAAAAGATGAGTTTTTGTGCTGCCGGCAGAAGCTGCCGGCCCAGCCATCTTCAGCTCTGCAATTTTTTTTTCACTTTAAGTTTTCTCAGCTTTTTGAAGTTTTTTAATTTGCTTGTCTTTTGAGTGCTTCAGCAGTTGGCTCACATTTCAGATAATGAAACAAAAGGACAAAGTCCTTAGTTACCACAAAACACTTCTGTATTTAGTAAACATGCTCTTCCCTCCGTAAGTAGTTTTTTTTAAAAAAAACACATTTAAAAGACAGATATGTGACTGATTCTAGTTTATTACTTCATCAGTGGCATGAAAACCTTGTGATGAGAATACAGATGTTATGCAAACCAAGCATTTCTTTACTGAGTTGGAGACTGTAGTGATGTTTAATTTTCTCCTCAGCTGTCTCATAATGACTTTAGATGGCAATGACTGAAGGATAGTCACTGGCTACTTCTCATTGGGCAAAATGTTTCCATACCAGTGTACCTATTTAGTTACAATATTTATAAATCCTTTCAACATCATTTTTAAGGCCATTTACAACTGTTTAAACATACAGTTTATACAATATAACTTTCTTCCCCACTAAACAAGTAAAAACTAAAATATTATATTACATTACAGACAGACAGTGAGGATGATTTATTTACAGCAGCCTAATGGAATAAAAATATTTTTACTGTGTACAAAAGGAGGCCAAAGAAGAACAAAATGGAAACATGGGGGGTGCATACTTCTGGAGCTACCACAGAAAAGGCTCCACTTCTGGTAGAGGATGACCTAAAGGAAGAAACCCAGAGGAGGGCATCACTATTGGATATTAATGTTCTGATATCTTGATAAGCTATATTTTGAAATTATTTACAGTACCCCACAACCACAGCCAAAACTAGCACCTTAGATTGGTCTCAAGAAGCCAGTAATAAGATCTAATGTTTTTGAGGAGCACAGCATATATATTTTTTAACTAAGCTGTAGTTTCTGAACTAAGTAGAGCAGGCTTGCACTTTAATTGTTTCTTTTGAACATAGATATTTTCAAAGCTAACAGAAATAAGCTTTCATAATCAGGCATATTTTTAAAATTACCGTATTTTTTGGACCATAAGACTCACTTTTTCTTCCAAAAAAAGGGGGAGGAAAAGTGAGTGCGTCTTATGGACCAAAGGTTCAGAATATTTTTTCCCCTGTCTTCCTCCTTTAAAAACTAGGTGCGTCTTAAGGTCAGATGCGTCTTATGATCCGAAAAATACGGTAATATATGCAGCTTGCCTTTCAAACATTTCCCACTTTTAGATAACCATAATATAAGAGTTAAGGTCCTAAAACAACAACAAAAAATTAAATACACCAATACTAGCAGCCAATCAAAGAAAACATTGGCAGAATAGAGACCACATCTGTCATCCAGAATGCCACAGAGTCACTGCATCATGAAGCATCATGAAGCCATCACAGCAGCGTAAAGAATCTGCTATCATAGCATTAGGCAAGGGCATAGCCAGAACATTTTTGGTGGGGGACACTGGGAAATCTAGAGGGGGGAGCAGGGGAGATGGGGGGGAGCAGAGGTGAGAGAGAGAGATCATGTAGGCAGCCGAAGAAGAAAAGGGTATTTTCTTACCTGCCGGCTGCACTAGTTTGCCTAGGCTGCTACAGAAGAGGGAGAGTTGGCAGGCCAGCAGGATTAATATTCGGGGAATATGCACTCTGTGCTACAATAGCGGCAGGCCTTGCCCCCCGCTACTGTAGCAGAGAGCGCATACTCACTGAGTATTAATTGCGTTGGCCTGCCGGCTTTCCTTCTCCTGTAGTGGCTGAGGTGAGCAAGTGCAGCAAAAAAGGGAAGGGGCAGTGGGAGTTGTGGGGAATGGGCCACGAGTGAGGGGCACTGCCCCTAAATGCCCCACTGTGGCCATGGGCCTGGCATTAGGTCTGCCCACCCAGTACCTCTTAAGTTTCCACTCTATAATGATGTGAACCTGTCTCAAGGAGCACCAGTCTGCTAGGCTCCATTTAGTGAGAATTGCTCAGCAGACCACCATAGGGTTGCCAGGTCCCCCACCCTGGCCACCAGCATTTTCTAATCTAGGTTAACAAATTCCTGGAGATTTGGGGATGGAGCCTGGGGAGGGCAGGGAGCTCACTGGGGTAGAATGCCACAGAGTCCACCCTCCACAGCATCCAGCTTCTCCAGGGGAACTGATCTCTGTAGTCTGGAGGTGAGCTGTAATTCTGGGGGATCCCCAGGTCCCACCTGGAGGCTGCCATCCCTAGCCCACCACTAGCTTCTGTAGAACGTCTCAAAAGGTCCTAAATGACATGAGCCCTACACTTGCAGCTCAGTGAGGCAGCAGAAAGCTGAGGTGGCTGAATGGCCTGTGAAAGGGGAATACCAGCTTTAAGTGCTCCTTTCACTCCTTACAAACAGAAACAAGTGGGAAGGGGGTTTCTTCTACCCGACTGCCAACAGACGGGAATGGACTTTCCTTTTTAAAGATGGTAACTGCTGCATGAGATTGTGGTGTGTCTAGGCTTGCCAGTTCTGTGAAGTAAAAAACCTGGAGATTTTTTTTGGGGGGGTGGAGTCTGGGGAAGGCAGGGTTTGATGAAGGGAGGGACTTCAGTAGGGAACAAGGCCATAGACTCTACTCTCCAAAGCAGCCATTTTCTCCATGTAAACTGGTCTCTGTTGCCTGGAGATTAATAGTGGGAGCTCTCCAGGCCCTGTCTGGTGTTGGGGTGTGTGTGTGTGTGTGTGGGTCTCCTTTCCTTGCTGTGTTATTTGCCCTGAAGGGGGAAGAGAGAGGAAGACTGCTTTGCTTTGTGTAATTACAAGGAATTTTTAACTAGATGAAGCACTAGCAAGTGTGACACATCCACTCCTGAAGTAACGTAGTCCATTCTACCAGGCCTGAGTGAAACAGTGGGGCAGTAGTACAGCCATCGGTTCTTGCACAGTTTCATCATCTAGGGTTCTGAATCCTGCCAGTGCTTAATTTCTGTTTAACAACATGTAATATTCATTTGATGGAATTGATAAATCAGCTGATCCCCAATGAAGAAAACTGCTTCTCCTCTCCATTAGCATTGCTAAGTGCTATCACAGCTTGCTCTTGATAGTGTTGTGGTTCTCACCCACTTTTTTTGGCCCTTATAGGTGCTGGATGTTAGCAGGGAAGGAAAAGAAGAAGTTTTCTATGGGCCCACTTTGCCTTTTGCTTCTAATGGAATAGCAGCCTGCTTCCTTCCGGCTCCCTACTCCACATGCCCAAACCTGCAGCCTCTGCAAGTGCCTCATCACAAGATTGGCACTGTGTGAGAAAGGAATGCAGCTAACAAGAGAACATCCTCCATTTTGGCCTGAATTTCACCTTCAAACCAACCAAAGGAAGGAATAATGCAGAATTCTTCTTTGTATTACACCGAGGAGAAGAAAAATAAAAACACTAAACATAAAGGACTAAACTGTAACAATGAAGCTTGGCCCTCCGTTAGTAAGAACAAGACAGTGCTACATATGCAATTTAACATCTTTGGAAAAAAGGATGCTAAATTCAGATTAACTTTCACAATTTGTTGCAACTAATGCTTGAATTATGAACTGTGAAGAACAAAAACTAACAAGATTTTAATTGACAATGCATTTAAAAAAACATGAACAGGCTGCTTCTCTCTTTCTAGGACAAGGCTTTTCAAACTGGGGGGACAACTGAATGGAGAGTGGACTCCCTAAAAGGCATGGAAAAACATTTTGTGTTTGTTGACTAGTCTTTGGTGGATCGAAAATCTTGAAACTGTGATCTCTGTCTATTTTGAGCATTTCTAATCTGCAGAAATAAGGTGTCTTTCTAACTTTTGAACAACTGGGTGTTCCTCACTTTTGCCTCATGGAGAGAGGCAAGGTTGGCTGGAGAGAGTCCATGTTACTGCTGGACCTAGAACAGGCAAATATGTGCAGCTGTTCACTCCAGGACTTGAGAACACAGGTGGAGGGGGTAAGAAAAGCAAATCTTTGCAAAGTCTTTGTAAAGTCTCATTTTAAAGTGGTCAAGATTAATGCCTGCATGTTGCAATGAGATGGAATTAGAACACGATCTACTTGCTTATGCATAACAAAGCTTGTTGGCAATCACAATGCAGAGTGTATAGGGCTTTCCACGGAATCACGAATTACTAATCCAAGGTATAACATTTGTTTAACTCCAGAATGTTCATTCAGCAAAAGTCGCAAAGGAAAACAGAATGGCATCTGAACAGTTCACCATTTCAAGTAATAGGGCTCGTTACTTAAAATGATAACGAATGGAAAATAATGTAAAAGTGGTTCTAACATTTGTGAGGGTTTTTTTAAAAAAAAGATCTGTTGTGAAATGCTAGATTTGATCATTGTCCTGAAGTGTCATTCAAGTAGCACTTTGAGTATCTGTCCTTGACAGTTTTTACTGGATCTGTATATCCATTTGCACTTGCCCCTAGAAATTATGGAACACTCCTGAATCTTCACTTGGTGAAAGAAAATAGAGGGCAATATTTTCATCCTTTCATCTGAATGGTTTTAGATTTCTGTTGCTGGAAGTCACAGTCTTGTGGAAAGGAAGTTTGGTATCCAATACCATCCAATGAGCAGGAATAAACTGTACAAGCAGAACAACTGAGAGAGCAACTATCAGGAATTTGTTCAAACTAAAGCAAGCATACTTAACAAGAAATGCTTCCTAAATGTAAGGAGGACTGGACCATTTTGGCAGGGGCAACTGCCCTGCCTGCCAAGTTTGTAAGAAGAAGAATCTATCAGGACTAATTTAGTATGCCACATGTGTCCAAGAGTTTGCACTCCATGATCTTTTGAAGCACTTGTGACAGGGCCTTTGTCCAGCATCTTGTTTGTGACAGTGGTTAGCCAAATGTCAAACAGATGCCCACATGTACCAAAAAAAGGAAATAACTCCCAACAAAAAGTATTCAGTAGCCTACCGCCTCTGAGTCTTGTGTGTGTATGTCCCTTTAGCCATTGATAGATGTCATCCATTAATTTGTCTAGTCTCCTTTTTAAACCATCTAAGCTAGTGGCCAAAACAACTTCCTGTGTCAGTGAATGCCATGTACTGTGTTAGTGTTTTATCCTGTCTGTCTTGAATGTACTGCCTACCAGCATCATTGGATTCTAGCATTGTGGGGAAAGGAAAGGGTTATTGCCTCTTCCCATATCCTGCACAATTTTATAAGCCTCTATCACTTTCCTCTTATTTTTTTTCTAAACAAAAATGTCCCATATTCTACAATCTCACTTTTGAGGTTGGATAATCAGAGCTGTACAGAACTGTTCCTATTGTGGCTGGACAATGGATATCATGATAGTGGTAGTTGTATACTCACTTTCCTAATAATCCCTAGCATAGGTAGACTTTGCCTTTTTCACTGCTGTTATGTTTCCATCAAGTTACCCATCGTATATCCCCAAGATCTGTTTTCTGGCTAGTCATTTCCATTTCCCGTTCTATTGTTTCCTTATGCTGCTTGGAGAAATTTTTCTTGAACTCTTGGCAATTCACTTTAGTTTTCACAATTCTGAATAATTTGGGGTCACCTGCAGACATCTCCCTTGGTGAAGATCAGTGCAAAGAATTCACTTATATTCTCACATTCTTTTTGATTCTCTGTAATCTTATATATTCATAAGAACACATGAAGCTGCCTTATACAGAACCAGACCTTTTGGTCCATCCTGGCCAGTATTGTCTACTCAGACTGGCAGCAGCTCTCCAGGGTCTCAGGCAGAGTTACCCCTTAACTCTTATGCTGTCTGACACTGTGACAGCCTCCTTCCCTGGTTTCCTATTTCTGGAGTATTTAATGACACTGGTTTGAATCCAGTAGAGCCACAGAAACAGCATTTTGGGATACAATAAGTGTCACAATCATCTGCAGAAATGTTCTGCTAGAAGATCTAAAACATTGTTTCCATGCTTTTAGAAACATTCTTAGGGTGTGTGTTTTTTTTCCTTTTGCTTGCCTTATCGTCAAGTTACATTTGTTTTGCCAAAGCTCATGTTTCATTTTGTTGTCCTCATCCGGACAAGATCTCTACTTCTCCAAGGAGACCTCCCTTGCCTTTTATAACATGTAACTTTGAACTAGCACTCTCTCAGACATGCTCTTCTCTAATTTCTGACACACATTCTACCTGAGCTTGTCGTATAATGGTTTTAAACACTTTCCATATACCCCTATTCCAAGTTCATGCTTTAAAACACTACTGGAAATATAAGAAACTGTATTATTCCTCCCCCCCCCATTTTTAACTTGTTTTTAAGACCACATTTTGCTTCCCTCATGCACCATAGTTCCTGTTTGAACCAGGACAGTTTATGCCCGAGTAGTATTTGGCCAGGGGGTTACAAAATATTAAACAAGAACATCCAATACCAACCAGAGAATATAAATTTCTGAGAACTGATAACCTAGAAACTAGACACTAAGATCCCCAAGTTATTGTACAATTCTGTACTCTACCCATTTGATGACACCCCAGTTCCCACATCTCATTTATTTGTTAGTTTCAGCCAGGAAGGCCATCTTTAAACTCAACTTGTTTAGTTTCAAAATGATGGGTAAGTAAGCTCACTCATAATTGAAATGTGCAGTTTCCTTCATATTCTGAACAAAATTGAAGCAGATCACAAGGGAACAACTTCATTTTTTCTAACGTGGCTTTACAAACTATGCTTCAAGAGGCTGTGCTGTGGTACAATGTGCCTCCATTTATATTACAGGCATATGTACAGTTTATAATAAAATACTTATAAAAATTCTTACTGCTCTATCTTTTGTATGTGTATATACTGTATCTGCTATTCTGAGACACCACAACACATGGAGACTTCTGACTAATTGGGTCCAGCAGTTCTCGCCACTCTCCAACATGCTCTTCTCTCTAAGCCTACTTCTGAAATGGCATAATGTTTCTGACATCTTTAGGAGCGTGACAGAGACTTAATGGAATAGCAATATCCTCCTCCTCCCTTTTTCCAGCACCAAAAAATGTAGCTGGTGGTGCCCAGGAGACTGCTTTTTGAGATTCCCATTCTTGTCTGCCATGTGGAACACTTACACGGCACTGCACCAGAGAACGTGGAACATGCAGCTTTCTAGGATGTCTCAAGTATTCAGCAGGGACATCAGGTACCCTGAGAATTACATGCCTCAAGGCTCCTTTCCCTGGGACACTATTAAGCTTGTGAAATGAGGCCTGCAACATATAGGACTTATTCAGTGCAAAATTTCCGTGCTAGAGCTCTTATACAAGCAGAAATAACAGAAAGACCACAATAGGCAATCACACAAAGTCAAAGCTCATTGTGTCCCTGCTTGTCTGCCGGCTCACACAAGGCCTTTTGTAACTAACTTCTGGGCACTGTAATACATGGGGGGTAAGATCTTGCACAAGTGGAAATGGGCTAAGTCTGTGTTTACATTTGTACATTGCTGGATCTAGATGATAGTTTCCAGAGCACCTGGTGCCCTACCAAGTACTCAGGTGTCTAGGGACACCAGTTATCACTCTAATTAATTTGCAATACAGATAGGCTAGAGATGTCTGTATTCAGAGGAAGTTCAGAAACACCTGTATGTAAAACTGCTGAAATAATCTCAACACCAGGTTAGAAATATTGTGATTTCTCAAACCAGCACTGATGGTTAACACAGGAATAGCATTTATATCTGGAGAAAACAGAGTAACATTGGACACTGGGATATGTACACAACATACTTGTATCATGATCAAAAATACCTATAATTCAGCTTTATTAAGCCTACACACTGCAGAACATCTAAATAGATGTGTTGGAATTATTAAATGTTTCTGCATCCAGTGTTGGCTTTCTTATAGGTGCTTGCCTTCTGCATGTATGCCCAGGACTTCAAACTTACTCACTGGTTGACCTTTCTGAAAGACTACATTCCTATGGCATATTATCTAAGGACAGCAAAAATTGGCATTCTACAGTTGCAGTCTGGCTAGTGATGTTCTTTCAACATGTGGTAAGTTGCTGTGGGGATAGGTTTTGTATGTTAGATTGGCCCACTTAGATCTGTGAAATCTGTAAAACCAGAGCTTACCATTGATTAGTAAATTGTAATTCATTCCAGGATTATTGATAATGTGGAAACTACATAGATTTCCAAGTTGTTAAGATAGTCTTACAAATTTTACTGATACAGGATAGGGAAACACATGCAAGTTCCATTGGATTGTTAGGTGATACTGAATTGGTCCCTGGTGGGTCGTAGCCATATAAAAGCTATTGCATTTCACAT